TGTCTTGTATACCAGTCATTTTGAAAGTATGTTAACAGTTAAGTACCTTAGACTGTTTAAGATTCTTTAGTTTTGTTCTGAATGACTGACTGACTGGTTTCAACATAGAACTTTGCATAGATGTGCACCAGTGCGAGTGCCATTTAGCACACAAAGCAAGAGAAGACAGTAAAGACAGATTGAAAAGAGATATAGATACACAGAAGTGTGGGGGAAGAAGAAGAGTAATATGGAAGACAAATCGCAAAGAGTGAATGCATCTACGCCATCACTGAGAAAACAATTTTGAGCCATTCCACCAATTGTCTCAAGTCTTCATTCATACTTACCATCCCCACGACCCTAACCCGTCAGTCAGGCAGTCTACACCTCCCCACGTGGCTGGCTGAAACTAACTGACGAGGCCATGTTTTCATTTGATCACCACTAGCTCCTTTCCAACCTAGTCATACGTCAGCTAACCTTTTCCGTCGAAAAAGGTGACGGCAAGTCATGCGTAAATATGTCCTAACCATCTCAATCAATGTTACTTCACAACCTCGTTGGTTGATTTCCCCTCCTTACCCAACACTAGACCAAAGCCTGACCTCAGTATTGCTCACCTTATTATACCACTTAACATGGGAGAGAGAACTCAGACACCTATGATCCAACACCTCTGGCCTTTTCGCATTTTCCACTTCCAATGTCCGTGTCTCACAGCTATGATGAAGGAGGATGGAGCGAACTGCTGAGCAGTGTAAACGTCCTTTAATTGTTAACCAGCCGGATATCACGTCTACGCAGTTTTGTTCTAAATTTTAGTAAGCATTTAGAAGACAACAGTTTAAATAAGCAGGAGGAATAAATTAATTTGATACGAGTCTATTTACTATCTTATTTTTTGAAAAAAGCGGCACTTCAACTGCAGATATAAGACTATGAAAGAGGCTAGACGTGTAGACAACACTACACTTGGCCTGTCACTCTTTAAAAGGTAAACAAGCGATCTAAAATTGTTGTGTGGTGGGTGTTGACTAGCAATGGAATACTAGATGTACACTTCGTACTGTTTGGGGCTCACCAGTTGGATGCACCTGCAGTCTCTAGCGAGGGAATGTGTTCCTAGTGAAACTCGAACCCAGAACATATCTTCTGAAACATATCGGTGGGAATATAAGTGATTGATAAGTCTTACATAATATCAAATGGGAATCCTGAATTTCACAGTCAGCTGTGTTTGATTACCTGAACCTTGATTATTGGCGGCTTGTTTAAAACTTAGGCTACCGAAAGCCTCCATCAGTATTATTTTTTTTAAATTCTTTATTTATTATAGCTTGATTTCACACCGTATTTTGGTACAAGTATGGAATTTTCAGCATGTGATATCGGTAGCCCGAATTTAGCAGACCAGTCATTGATATCAGGTGTGTGTCAGCCGGGGATCAAACCCCGGACCATGTATATGGTCGGCGAGCGTCCTAACCCTTGCTCCACTGACGCATATATGATTTCTCTTAGTAAAATATGACCCCCAATGTTATTATCTACTCTCGTGAGTATTTAAAATGTTCACAACCTGAGATTTCACAAGTTTCTACTAAACATCAGACAAAGCAGTATCCTCGATGGATGGCAGCTACATGAAATGATCGTTCCTCAGTGGTGTCTTTGGTTCAGAAAATGTACTCCTTAACTTTTTATAAATGGCATTCAGTAAAAGAAGAGATACCATCATAATAGTAGTGGATTGGTTTCCGCTTCAAGTCAGATAGAACTGTGTCACACGATCTACTATCAATCTTAGACCCTAGACGAAGAGAATATATCATGGAATAAACTCCGATGAAACTTCTGTAAGTTATATAAACACTGTTCAGAATAAAATGATTAATATTATTAGTATATTATTATTTCCAACATTTCTAGCACAAAAAAATAGTACTGCTGAGTCTAATATTGCATCAAGAAGAAAAAGGTCAACGAAATTCCCGATGAAGGCGAACTCAAACTAGACTGAATTTTCAATGTAGAAGGCTGCACAAAAGTTTGACACTTGACAAGCGTACACATAAAGATAGAGACAGAGACGTTTTATCAGATCTTGCCGATCACATTTAAGAAATACATTTACACAATTGTTAACGACTTTGAACTGTGACATCAAACAGTTTCCAGCCATTAGAGGTTCTTAAAAGAATTTCAAAGACTCCAACCAGACATTAATGTAAACAAAACACGTAGATCAGCGAAGAGTCTCTTTTCGGCGGCGAATTCATTTTCTTAGCTGTACAATCGCAAATATATATGTGGGTTATTTTGTATGTATGTGTACATTAAGTTTGTCAAACAAAAATACAATTGGTTATGGTTATTTTAACTAAACAGGTGAAGATTGATTGTTGGGGTTACGTAATACAAAATCAGTCAAGAAAATTAGGTGTTAATGAAATTAGGGTAGTAACAAAGGTGATGAGTTGTCATAAACAGTTGTTAAAAAGAAGTTATGTAATAATATGAATAGTTTGATGATTGAGTTTTACTCAGGATACACATAGGAACAAAGAAGAGAATACGAAATTACATAAACTTCGGAGAAACAAAACTTTAATTGCGCCCAAAAAGAAACTCTACATGAACTTGGATTTCAAGGGAGATTTAACAAGCGATATTCTCAAGAGAAGGATCACATCATCTCTGAGAAGAACATTCTTTGCAGCAACACTAAGAATAGTGTTCTCTAGTCGCGCACCGATCCGCAGAAGCCTCAAGGACAAGATCCCGCATCTGACCACTTCTATGTGCATATATCAGTTCACCTGCTGCTGTGGAGCCAGGTACATCGGTCGTTCGACGCGCACTCTGTCCAAGAGGATTCAAGAACACTATCCAGCATGGTTGCGAAAAGGCAATAGTGGTGCAGTAAGGGATGCGATAATTGAACACATGGTTAATACTGATCATTCCATCTCAACAAACGCCTCCTTCAAAGTGATCTACAGAGTCAAGAATAACCTACCAAAGGTAATACGGTTTCGTCTTCTTTGTGTCACTGAAGCTCTGGCCATTCACACAGAGAAACCGGAGCTGTGCATACAAAAGAAGATTACTCAACCACTTCTACTGTATTAGTAACAACTTTTTTGATTTGGTTTTTTTGATTTTGATGACTTAGTTTTGCTTCTTTGCCTGTTCTTTAATTGCTTATAATTCTTGTGTTCATCTAGAACTCTTACGTCATTTCGTATTATCTACTTTGTTCCTATGTGCATCCTGAGTAAAACTCAATCATCAAACTATTCATATTATTACATAACTTCTTTTTAACAACTGTTTATGACAACTCATCACCTTTGTTACTACCCTAATTTCATTAACACCAAATTTTCTTCACTAATTTTGTATTACGTAACTCCAATTACCAATCTTCACCTGTTTAGTTGAAATAACCATAACCAATTGTATTTTTGTTGGACAAACTTAATGTACACATACATATAAAATTACCCACATACATATTTGTGACTGTACAGTTAAGAAAATGAATTCACCGAAAAGAGACTGTTCGCTGAACTACGTGTTTTGTTTTCATTAATGCCCGGATGGGGGATTATCCATGAATCCAACCAGACACTCTGCACTTCACTAAATGACTAATGGGTAGATGCCATCTTCGGTTTGTCCACCCCAAAAACGCTTTTCCAACTTAATACGATGTCCACTAACATTAATCAATGAGGATGGTCATGAAATGGTAGCGTTCACCTCGAGCGATGTGACTTCCCAAACTCTTCATCCGACTTTCATTTCTCGCTTAATAGTCTACGTCTAGACTTAAAACTAATGATCATCATATTTTTTATTTATTTATTCATTTTGGTTATAACTTGATTCCCCACAGTATTTTTGGTACAGGTATGAAATGTTCAGTATGTGATATCGATAGCCCAAATTTTGCAGGCCGATCACTGATACCAGATGTGCATCAGCAGGAAATCGAACATTGATAATGCAGTTAGAGGTACAAATAGTAAGATAATATCTACAGTTATCCGGTGTCACTAGGAGAGATAACTATTCCATGCTGAGGTTGTAGGCCAAAGGAGGGAGAGAGATTGGACAAACTTTTTCAGAACATAGAGACTGGGTTGAAAATTTTTAATGGCAATTGTCTCAACTATGCTTAGAAACCAAAGACGTATCAACCTAGGGAATTGAGTTGGCACCCTGTATAGAATTACAAAAGCTGAATTTTATTATTTTTGATTACAGCTTGATTCCACACCGTATTTTTTGGTAAAGGTATGAAATTTTCAGCATGTGATATCGGTAGCCCAAATTTTTCAGGCTGACTATAGGTATCAGGTGTTCGTCGGCAGGGGATCGAACCCCGGACCATGTGCATGGTCAGCGACAGCCCTAACTTGTGCTCTCTATCCAGTAAGTGTACCAGTATGGAACTTCTGATTGAATTCACGACTCTTTTACCTAACCACATTGGACAACTCTGAGGAAGGCGACAGTGGGCTTACTAGTTCGTTCTAGCTATGCAACTGTCTGCACATGAACAGTTAAATTTATAAATGCACATTCAAGTCGCTAGACTGTGTAGCTTATCCTTCATCTCAGTTAGCTAATATCTGAAAATTTTCCAAATCAAAAGACTACATAGTGCGTCGGTGGCACAGTGGTAGAGTGTTCGTCAACCACGCAGGTGGTCCGGGGTTCGATCCTCGGCCGACGCATTCCCTTACCTCACTAAGCCAGTAGTAAGACTGGTAAAGAAGGAAGGTTGGGCATAAGGCTAGCAACCACATCCTGTAAAAATAATCACCACTACTACAGAAACTTCAAGCCTCTAGCTTGAAGCCCTATGTTCCACTGGGAACGTAAAGGCATAAAAAAAAGGCTACATATCTAACAGAAAAACTGATAACGCGTTTAATTTAACAATAAATATTACATAACTGGTAAGTTATCAATCAACCAAAAAGAAAGAAAAAAAGAAATGGACTCACCAGAAAAATAGGATCCAAGTAAAGTTCCTATTCCTTTGCATATTTGTGCTATAGCAATTGTTTGACTTGTTGTTTCTGGTTGTCCTTCGCATAAATCAGATACAACTACAGCTTGTTGTGAAATATACAAGGCTAATGATGCACCTCTAAAGAACATAAGAGTTGATAGTATTCTCAAATCAGTAGCAAATGCAATAAAAATAATGATTAATGATGAAAAGGCTACACCACCAGTCCAGATAAGACCTCGATATGGTTTAATATAACGATTGTCAAAGAAAAATCCCAATGCTATTCTTACAACTAATTGAACAGTGCCTTCAATCATAAGCAATTGAACTGAACTGCCACCGATATACTGGAAAAAAGGGAAAGAGAGGACAGAAAAGGATAATAATAATATGTACACTGTAATTATATACAGTTTGATTTATTTTAGCGTTACAAAATTAGATGAATTTTCATTTAACATGTATATATTATTATTATTGTTTCCTTTGATTCCTAGAGGAACATGGGTCTTCAGACAAACGTCTCCATTGCGTTCAGTTCTCTGCCAACGTCTTCATCTGGCTCCACGTCTGCCCACATGCTTTCACCTCCTCCACTCCATGTCACTCCACCCTCGCACTGACGACCAACTCGCCACTTCTCATTCCGGTTCCACTCAAGCAATGGCCTGGCGTGTGATGTCACTTGATGATGGCTTGTTTTCTCAGAGTATGGCCAATCTAATCCACCTCCATTTCTTCCTGCACAATTGGTCCATGCTCGGTTAGTTCGTTCATTGCCAGAGATCTCTTTTGATGATCTTTTCTCGCCGGCCATCTGATCTTGAGCGAAGACAGCTGTTGAGGAAAGTCTGTAGTTTGTTCGAAGTACCCTTCGTGACACGGCGCCAAGTCTCTGATACATATAGTGGCACTGACTTTACATTGGAGTTGAATATATATATAAGCACATTTTACATTTATTTGGTTAATGCTGCCTATCAGTGAAATCCAAGCTTCGAGTTTCATCTCAATTGAAACTCATCAGCTGGATGTATTCACTTATATCCCCTTAGGAGTAATAATACTTTTCCTATATGAGACTCGAATCTAGTCAGTGTCAGTCGTTTAGACAGCCAGATTGTTATCCACTAGGCTATGGGGAACCGCCAGAGCCATCTCACTTTATTCCTTTGCATTTTGAGTGGAACATAGAATTTCAAGCTTGAGGTTAATGTTTCAGTAGCAATGATGCTATTTTTGGTTTTACACGGTTGAATTACTGGTCTCATCAAATCCAACCTTCACTCTTTATCAAGTTTACTTCTGGCTAGGGGAGGTTTAGGTAGTCTCCAACTAGGAATCAAAACTGGACCACCTGCCCGGTTAGTAAGCATTTTAGGACTGGTGATAACGGAAGGATACAAACCAACGCCCTTTCCATACTGATTTAGTTATTATTACTTGTCATTTATTACAACTTTCTCAAGTTCCAATTGGCTAGCTTCAGGGGGTCGAAATCTCTAGTCTATGTTGGCACACTGACACCTAGTAAGAAAGCTTTGATGGCACCTTCAGATGAACTAATTGCTTGAATAACGAAAGAAAGATCAGATTGGCAGTATAAAATGATATGATCATTCTCATCAACTGCACATTCCTACCTGAAATTACAATGGTTATAAATAATAACATTAACATAATTCAATGTTTAAAAGGCAGTTGTAAGGGAAACATTATAAAATCAACGCATGCGAAATAGAAGCATTACAGCTTTTGGTTTAAGTTACCATCAATTTATATGGTTTTAAAGTAGAAAAGGAGGAAGTTAGGTGGGGGAGAGGAGAAGACAAGAAACAGAGAAATCTAATAAACAGTGTTATCTTGTAAGTTCACATAGCAACTCAAGAAGGATATAGTTCATAAAATTGAAACCTTCCTCAGTAAGCTGAAATCACCAATATGGATGACTAATAAATGTAGTCAAAATGCAGTTACCAAGGGAGTGAGTGAGAGATTGATTATGCCCTCTTTCTGTATGCTGAAGTTTGATTTGAAACTCTTGATTCCAATTGCTTCAGAAAGTCGTAGTAAGCTTACTGTCTTCTGTATGTTTAGTATTTTGAAGGATTTAGAAATTTCGACGAAATGACCCGTATCCATAAGGTGTCTGGTAATTTAACTTTGCAACTATCTGTTACTTTTTAGACGTAAGTTTCTTGGGATATGCTCTGAAAACCAGATGAAAGCCCTACTTTCTGTCCTTTCCAAAATAAACCTTTCAAAACAAACTTCTCTATACAGAAAGGAAGTGTGATCAATCTCTCACCCACTCCCTTGGTAACTGTATTTTGACTACATTGATTAGTCAGCCATATTAGTGATTTCAGCTCACTGAGCAAGTTTTCAATCTTATGAACTATAATCTTCTTGAGTTGCAATGTAAACCTACCTCCGTCTTCTGTCTTCTCCTCTTCCCAGCCCTCTTTTTTTGTAATTTGAAAGACGTATAAATTGATGGTAACTTAAACCAAAAACTGTAATGCTTATACTTTGGATGCGTTGATTTCGTAATGTTTTCTCTACTGCCACCATTCAAACATTGAAGTATTTTATTGTCATTATTCATAACCACCGTAATTCCAGGTAGGGGTGTGCAGCTGATTAGAACCTGTGAAATAGAATTATTATTATTATTGTTCCCTTGGGTTCCTAGTGGAACATAGGGCTTCAACTGCACATCTCCACTTGCTTCTGTCTTCTGCTGTACTTTTCACTTGCATCCATGTTAATCCATACTGTTTCAACTCCTCTTCACACAATCTCCTCTATGTCACCCACGGACGTCCCACTCGCCGCTTCCCTTTCGGGTTCCACTCGAGCGTTGGCCTGACGCGCGATGTTACCCAGCGGCCTCCTCAGCGAGTGCCCAATCCATCTCCACTTTCTCCTGCACATTTGTTGAGCGATTGGTTCTTGTTTTGTTTGTTCCCATAGTTTCTTGTTGGTGATTCTTTCCGGCGGCCATCTGATCTTCAGTATAGAACGAAGACAGCTGTTGATAAATGTCTGCAACAGGCTGTTGGAAATATTCTTTGTGACCCGCCAAGTTTCTGATCCATCCGTATAGAAGAACTGACTGATTTGACGTTTATATTGAAAATCCGAAATTTGTTGTTGATGCTGAGTGAAGTTACGAAGATTTCCAGATTAGTTTCAGGTTGATGAATGTGTTTCTCGCCTTCCCGATTCTCGATTTGACATCCTCGTCCGTCCGTTCCTCCTGTGGTTGAGACAATGCTCCCTAGATAAGTGAATGAAGTAACCTCTTTCAAATCCCTCCCGTTGATGGTGATTGGCGCTGGATGTTGCTGTTGTTGTTGTTGTTGTTGGTAGGTTATTTTCATCACCTCCGTCTTGTCTATGTTCACCTGGAGTCCTGTCTTTGCTGCTTCTTCGACCAGTTTGTCGGTTTTCGCTTGTAAGTCTTCGATTTTGTGTGACATCAAACATAAATCATCCACGCGCGAAATCCAGGTCTTCTAGATTCTTCACGTCGGTCCAGGATATCCCTGTCTTCTCGTTTCCCACTGTCTGAGTGAAATAGAATGATGATATCATTTTATACTGTCAATCCGGTCTTTCTTTTCTTTTTTATCAAGGGAACCAAATGTAACTAATTGTTGTTATTCAGCTGACCAGTAGATGCACCAGGAACTAAACATTTTAATCCAGTAAATCCAACCACTAGGGAATTCGAAATGTATTCAGTAAACATGATTTTATGTCCAGTTTATACAAATTTTTTCTAGTAATAGGCAGCTGTTTGAACTTGTACAAATGATATGCATAGCAATAGGTTGGAAAGTTCTCTTGAATATTTTATGTATACTGATGCATCGAAGGCATAGCGGTTAGGACTCTCGCCGACCATGCATTTGGTCGGGGGGTTCAATCCCCAGCCGACGCACACCTGATATCAATGGTTAGCCTGCTAAATTTGGGCTACCGATATCATATACGGAAAATTCGATAATTGTATCAAAAATACTGTGAGGAATCAAGCTATAATAAAACAAATAAAAATTTTTAAATATATTAAAAATCATAAGCTGGTTAAACAACATGCAACTATTAACAATGTTCCTCTAACTGAAAATGCGCAACTTTAGGAAATCATTATACCATATCATCATATCTGATTTGTTAGACCTTTATAGACATAAAATTCCATTGAAACTTCAAAAACAAACCCCGACTGGATTTCATCTGAAGGATAGTCGAAGATGTAAATCATCGGTCAGTGAATTTGGATCCATAAAAAACTAATTATCAGTCAAGATGTGCCGTTTATGTGAACTTGAAGGCATAGATTTCGTCTGTCTGTCTGTCTGTCTGTTTTCGACATAGAACTTTGCACGTATGTGCGGCAGTTCAAGTCGCCACACTCCCTCCATGTAGCACACAAAGCAAGAGAAGAAAGCAGAAGAAATGCATATTAGAGACAGTAAACAGAGGTATGAGACAAAGGAATAGTAATAACGAAGAACAATAGAGTTTCATTGGAAATCATAAGTCACAAGGAGTGGATGCATCTGCACCAGCCATTGAGAACGATTTTGAGCCATGTCACCAATTGTTTCCAACTATTGGTCTCTATCGTCCCGAGGACCACAACCAGGAAGTCTACACCTTCCTACGTGGCCTAGACTAACTGTTGTAGATTTCATTGACTGATGAAGCCATGTTTTGGTTTGACCGCCGTCGATTCTCATAATCTGTTAATTAGTTGAAAAAATACTTTAAAGAGGACTTTCTAAGCATTCAGTCATGTGTTACAGTTGAGATAATAATACACATTTGGGTGGAAATTTCCCAACAAGGCTAGGGAGTAAATCAACACAATATTATTATTGATCTAATTTAGAGATTAGAATAACAAAATTGTTTAAAAAATGCAATAGAATTCAACTAATCTAAGCTTCATAGGGATTAAAGTTTGTCACTGTGTTTCTTTGCACACAAGCACACACACACAAAAGAACAAAAGAGAAAACATATCTAAGCCGAAATATTCAAAGTGTATTTTTCACGAACATGACGTCTAGAAGTCAGTTAAATGTGTTCAAAGAGAGAGAGAGAGGGGAAGAAATCTTTGGTGGGTATATTATTGAAAAAGCGAAAATTACCCCCCCCCCCCTCAATGAATTATCGATATACATTCTCTGAAGTGTTTTAATGGACTTAGAATTAAAAAACGAGGAATGCCTGATTGTGGTCAACTGGATCATGTAATAAACTGTGAGCGTGTATGGAGAGAGAAGACGGGCATACGTTAGGCAGACAAAAATGAAGACTGGTGGGAAGT